TCAAGGCAAGCTGCCACAGTCTAATGCAGCAATGGCTGTGCCCATAATAATGCTCCCAACAGTATCACTACTTTATTTTTCAAATGGAAAAAATTAGGTTCTGAGTCTGTCATTGATGGACATAGTGACAGATGGAGATCTGCATGCCATGTCTACCCCTACATCATTGCTCAAAGCCCTTTGGGAACCTGCCTGAGACCCTTGCATCAGAGACAAGAGACCAATACCCCAGAGAATAGTCTAGAGATCTTACCTCAAGGGCAGGTGAGTCTAGAATGTTCCTCACACGACAACTCCCATGGCACCTCTGCACACAGTGGATTCACTTGCAGGAGACCTGAACCCTGGTAAGCACCCAGCTTGCTACTGCTCATAGTAGGGAAAGCTAGTCATTGGGAAAGGGGTTGGCACAGAACTACCTGACAGTAAGTAGTCCAAGAATTTGCTTCTTGTTTCCAGAGCAAATCCATTATTTCCTCATGAAAAAGAGAATCAACATATAACAAAGCCCTGTGTATGGTCTACAGCAGGGCAGCCTACATTGCCAGGGCTGATTAATATGTAACCAGCACTGGGATGAAATGGAAGCAAATGCCAGGTTTGCGGGTGTGTGGACTGGCAGTGACCTTGCTGTCCACCAAGAAAAACTTAGAGTCCATAATCTGGTTCCTATAAGCAGAGCAGGAAGTAGAAGCCTCAACAATGACAGTAAGGTACATGTGACAGTCCCAATCCCCTAGGGACCCCAAATGTGTACAGAGTTGAGAAACAGGAGTGTGGGAAAGCTCCCAGCACTGGAAGGCAGGGTGTAGACCTTCCAAACACAGGATGTTCTTTCCACGTTTCCTCTGCCTGCACTACCAATAACCAGGGCCTGGGCACTCCATGGTCACTTACGAATGCAGGGGCAGACAGGACAGAGGGCTTGTTGTCAAAGGGCAGAAGCCTGGAGCAGCCACTCCAGTCAGTACAAGGACCCAGCAAGTATATCTAATCCTACAAAAACTCTTTCCACATGACAGGTGAGAGAAAGAATTCACAGAGCGCTGGAAAAAACATGGTGGAGTTCTTGGGTTGTGGAAGACATGGGCTTATGGTCCTAAGGAAAACTGCTTCGTGTTCCTGCTTTCTGGAGGATGAAACAGAGGGTCAGAGAAGTTCTTCAAGCTGGGATGAGGAAGTGAGGTACTTGAGACTTGGGTACAGATGGATATGATGCCAACATCCATCCTGCTTCTGACTCAGATGCTGCGGCTAACACATCAAAGGAAGGAAGGGATCACAAAAGACTC